AGTAAAAAAAAAAAAAGAACAATAGCAAACATCACAGACATAAACAGAACAAAGCAAGCACATTAAAAATGATACAGGGTTTCAAAACAAAATGATAGGAATTAACAGTGGTTGTTATATTACATATTGTTACCTTCAACGAAGTTACTCAGATTATCAGATGTAAGAATTGTTCAAACCATTGAAGAGAATAAAAAATAAAAACAAAAGCATTAGAAAGGATACAGAGTTGCACTAGACAAGATGGGAGGAATTGACCAATGGTTGTTATATTGCATATTATTGTCTTCAAATCAATTGCTCAGATTACCAGACACAAGCATGTAGAATTGGTCAGAATATAAAAAAATTTAAGTATTAACTGTTCTTTTCAATAAACCACCAGGCATCAGCACTACAGTTATCCCAGCTATTCATATATATAGATATTCCCTTCATTCTTCCTTTCTTTTTCTCCTTTCCCTCATCCCAGTTATTCCTTCCTTTGAGCAATTTCTTTCCCTTTCATATTATCTATTGTATGCTTTGGGTTTTATTTACTCTCTCAGGTTCTTACACTGATAGACAATATGATGTTTACATGTGTGGGTATGATTTATTTCACTTATGAGTATGGCTTCTAGTTGCACCCATTTACCTATAAAAGCCTTGAGTTTATCTTTTTTTTATAGTTGAGTAATACTCGATTGTATAAAAATACCACATCTTTTTTATCCATTCTTCAGTGGATGGGCATTTGGATTGTTTCCAAGATTTAGCTATGACAAATTGTGCTGCTATAAACATGGGTGCACATATATCAATGTGGTATGATGTTTTTAATTCTTCTGGGAAAATACCCAGAAGAGGAATAGCTGGGTTAAGTGGGACTGCCAATCCTAGTTTTGTGAGGAATCTCCAAACTGATTTCCACAGTGGTTTCACCAATTCTTCACTCCCACCAGAAGTGCAGAAGGGTTCCTTTTCCCCCACAGCCTCTCCAGCATTTGTGATTGGTTGATTTCTTGATGATAGCCATTCTTTCTGGGGTGAAACGGAATCTCAGTGTTGTTTTAATTTGCATTTCTTGAATGACTAATGATGTTGAACATTTTTTCATATATTTATTTGCCATTTGTATTTCTTCATCTGAGATGTGTGTATTTATCTCAGATGCCCATTTTTGGATTGGGTCTTTGAATTTTGGGGGCTTGATTTTTAAAAATTCTTTACATGTTCTAGATAGAAGTCCTTTGTCTGAGGGGCAGTTGGCTAAAATGGTTTCCCAATTTGCGGGCCTTCTTTTTACTCTGTTGGTGATTTCTTTTGATGTGCAAAATCTTCTCAATAAGATGAGATCCCAGTTGTTGATTCTTTGAAGTATTTCCCCTGCAGTTTGGTTTTTGTTCAGGAACTCTCTGCCTACCCCTGTGTCTTCAAGATTTTTACCTACTTTCTCTTCCAGTAGATTTAGTGTTTTTGTTTTAATATTTAGATCTTTGATCCATTTTAACTTTAGTGCATGGTGATAGACATGCATCTAGTTTTAGTCTTCAGCATGTGGAAAGCCCGTTTTTCCAGCACTATTTTTTATTTTTTTACTTTTGGTTTTTTTTCCAGTACCAGGAATCGAACTCACAACCTTGCGCTTGCCAGGCAGGCACTGTTCTGCTGAGCTAAATCCCCAGTCCCCCAGCGCTATTTTTTAAAGAGGCTATCTTTCTTCCAGTGAACATGTTTGGCCCCTCTGTCAGGTGGGTGAGTGTGTAGGCAGAAGACTTTTAAAGAGAAAAGCTTCATTTAGCTCAATTTTGGAGGTTCAAAGTCCAGGATGGGGCAGTCCCTCTGGTTTGGCCTCTGCTATGTCATGGTGGGAGGGTGTGAAGGAGCGAGCAGTCACATGGTGAACCAGCACAGAGAGAGAGGGAGGGTAGAGCCAGACTCAGGTTTTTGTAAAAATCCTCTTTCGAGAATTACTGCGGGGTCCAGTGAGAAAGACTTGCCCAGGGCACATCCCCAGTGACCTAAGGAGCTCCCACGAGGCCCTGTTTCCTAAAAATTCCACCACCTCCCAATAGCAGATTCCTAGAGACCACACTTTAACATGCAGCTCTTTGAGAGGCATTCATCCTCCAAGCCATAGCATGGCGCTGCTGTACTTGAGGACATCGTATGCAATGTCTATGGGCCAACTGGCTTTCCACACAGACAGAGGTGTGTCTCCAGTAGATAAAATACCTGGGCTCAGAAACCAGGTTGGAGTTAGGAGCTGCTCTAACCGTTATCACTCCTGGTGACTCACATAGATAACTTATATTTCCTGTGTCTGCAGCTTTAGCTCTGTGAGTCTAGAGGTATAGCTCCCAGAAGAACAATTCCACCCAGAGACACAGTGAGGTTTCTCTTCATTTAAAGCTCTGACTGCTGCTTCTAGTCACTTTGAGATCATCACTCTAGGAGGCCAGTAAGCAAAGCGAGGAGGCAGAGCTGCAGCTACATATGTAATGGGGGCAAGGAAGAATATATTAGACACTTAAATGACCAAGTGGGACATCTCTTGTATTCTCATGTGTATTTCTAATTAAAAATAGGCAGGTACAGCATCTATGGCCTGATAGGCATGATACCCATGGATTCAGTGCCAACCCCCTCTGGTCAAGCCACTTAGACCAGCACTTGTGGGTGACCTGCTAGAGAAGGGAGATGGTAGGTATTAGTTATGGTGTCAGAATTAACTACAACAGCAAGGGAAGTAGTTGTCACACTGATCCTCCTTCTTTTGTTTTTGTTTTTGTTCTTGTTTTTACTACTACAGATTGAACCCAGGGCTTTTGCACTGAACTACATCCCCAGCCCCTTTTACTTTTTATTCTGAGACAAGATCTTGCTAAGTTGCCAAGGTTAAGCTTGAATTTGCAATCCTCCTGCCTCAGCCTCTCAGAGTGCTGGGATTATAGGTGTGTGCCACAGCACCTGGCTAATCCTCCTTTTTTCTTCTTTTTCAACTTATTTGTTGTTAATACATTTTCCAAGAACGTTTGACCGAACAGAATTCTGGAGAAGGTGACTAAGACAGAGTGAACTCAATGTGAGGAACTGGAGACTGGAGTGCTGGCTCAGCCTGCCAGAGTGTAGACTGTCATAGATGCTGTTGGTGTCTTGTCTTGAATCCTGACCTCAGAAAGGTGCACCTATTCCTCAGTTTCTGACCGTGTTGACTGCCACAGCTCGCAGCTGGACCCTGGTCCAGCAAGTTGATCATGGCAATCAGGAATCGCCTAGAGATTCAGAAAGGAGCTCACATACCCTACCCACGCTGAGAAGAGCCTGCAACCAGTGACGCTGATGTTGGGGTACAAAGTCTGGGGATCTCACCTCAAGACAGGGAGCCTGGGGGGCCATTTCCGCTCCAGGCAGTCTAGAGAAAATCGCATCTTAACCTTCTACTTCTTTATTCTGGGCTATTCATTCTGTGTGAATTCTTTCCATTTGGGGTTCCACTCTGGGAAGAATGACAGACAATATTCTTTCTCTTTTAAAGTATATTTCTTAAGGTCTAACTAGCAGAAAAATATACAGGAGAAAAAGCAAATCTCTCCCATCACTCACTTTCATCCACTGGCCCTTTCCAGGGTTCTCTGGAAGGAACTCACCGCGGTGTGATGGCATAGGAAAGGTGTCGCTTTTCTGTGCATGCACGTGAGTATGTGCACACACTTATCCACTTAAAAGTAAATAGGAACATTCTGTACATATTTTTCTGTGACTTGTTGCATTTAACAGTGTGTCTCAGAAAGCTTTCCATGACAACATGTGTAAGTCTACCTTTTTAAAAAAAATGGCTGTTAGCGTATGGCTTCTCTTATATGAGAAACTCAAAATGTAAATAAAGAGTAAAATAAAAGATAGGTAATGGAAAGTAGGGAGATGGACCTTTCTCACATGGCAAGTGGACCACAAGGTGGAGGGCCGGGGAAGGAGTGGAGAGGAAGAGCATGGAAAAAGAATTAAGATGCGCCGTGTACCCGTACCAACTCCTTGCAAGAAATGTAAACACTATGTACTACAAACATTTGGTAATAAGATTTTTTAAAATTGGTTGTACAGTATTTATTGCATACTATTGATATACTATAATTTATTTAATTATGTTCCTGTGGGAAAACAGAGCAACACATCTGAAACTCTGTCATTCATAAGAATGTTTAAAAAAAAAGTGGTCCTAACCCACCGCTGTTTTCAAAGGTTAGATTTTGTTTATGCTAGATCTTTGATTTATTTTTAGTTTATTTTTGAGTGTGATGTGATACATGGCTTAATTCCCTTGAAAGGAATGTACGTGACTTATTGACTAGACAATCATTTTCCTGCTGAAATGTCACCTAAACCTTAAACTAAGTCACTGTATGTACAAGTATCTGCTTTGAACTGGGCATGGTGGCACACCCTTGTAATCCCAGGGTTTGAGAGGCTGAGGCAGGAGGATTGCCACAAGTTTGAGGCCAACCTGGGCTGCATAGTGAGTTCAAAGCTAATTTGAACTACAGAGTGAGACCCTGTCTTAAAAAAAACAAAATTTAAAAAGTATTTTCTCTGGCCCCTCTTCTGCTTCTTTGATTTTTTTGGTCCCTTCTTACATCATTCCTAAGTTATTTTTACAAATGCCTGCATCATATATTTCTCTACCTAATACAGGAAGACACTGTTCATTGTGCTTCTATTTAAAAGCGTTTTCAACCATTTTAGGCATTGCTTTTTTCCATATGGATTTTAAAAATATGTTGAGTTAAAATCTTTTCTTTGGATTTTAATAGTGATCACACTGTGCTTATATATTAATATAAAGAGAATTTATGTAATTTCAAGGTAGAATCTTCCTATAGAGGGATGTTACCCAGGCCCCCCTCTTTCTGGTGCTTTTCTATGAAGTTTTGTGATTTTCTTTATATATACTTTCTTTGGTTTGTCTGAGTATTTATAGTTTCTGTTGCAATTGTGAATAGCATCCATTTTTCTATTAGATTTGCGAATTGGTTATTGCTGATGAACAGAAAAGATATTGGATTTTTGTATGTTGACTTTCAATTCAACTTAATTCTATTTGTTCTAATAGCTGCAGTAGATCCTCCTGGTTGATAATCATATTGTATGCAAATAGTGACGGTTTGATCTCTCCTTTACCAATATTTATAACTCATTTTGTTCTATTTCCTTATTGCATTAGCCTATATCTCTGTTATAATGTTAAATGGTATGAATAATAGCATTTAAACTTTCATTGAAACTTGTTTGTGGGAAGAACTTCACTATAGGACTGTTCGGGTTGCTATTTGTGGTTGGCTTGCTATCGTGCAGGGACAGCGAAGCTTTTAGAGCTTCCAATGAAAACAAATAACTGGTTGTGGCATGCGTGCCATAGGTTCGCCATCACTGTGGGAAGGAAAATCTATCAGGTTGAAAAACTTTTCTTTTATCCCATCGATCCTTTATTATGGAGATGGTGCCATGTCAATTAGAAATTCAGTGGAAGTAGAAGAGATCTGCTCAATAAACCAATAGATTTAACGAGTAGAGTTCAAACTTTCTTTGTTTACTTGTGCTGCTGTAACAAAATACCCAAGACTCAGTAAAGGCAAATTCATTTCTTACACTTCTGAAGCCTGAGAAGTCTAAGAGCAGAGTGCTGGCATTGGTATCTGGTAGACGCACTCTCTGTTTCCAAGGTGGTACATTGTTCCTCTGTCCTCACCTGGAGGAAGGCACAAGGGCCAGAGAACACAACCTTTAGCCTCCAGCTCTTTTAAAATGGTGTATTCCCATTCATGGGGGCTGAGCCTTCATAATTTAATTATCCCCCAAAGGCTGGTACACCTCTTAATACTGCAACACCGGAGATTAAGTTTGAATGAGTTTTGGAGGGGACATTGTCATTCAGACCATAGCACCTTTCTGACCAGTGACCCTCCGAGCACTTGGTGAAGCTGGTAGCAAAGTTGATTCATTTCTCGTCCTGAGAAGAGAGGGGACTAGTCACTCCCCACAATACCCTTGAATTCTACAAAATGGAACTTTGTCGTCATTGCTAAAGCTCTGCAATTCTAATGAGAAAGCCTGTTGGAGTCTCTCACATCTCTTTTCAGTATCCACTAAAATGATCAGAATGCTCTTATTTTTAATTTTTTCACATAAATGATTACACTAATATATTTCCCAATACTGAACCATCCTTTAATTCCTAAACCAAATTAAACTTGAGTATGTTATTCTTCAATGCAATGATAAATTTGATTTTTCATCATATATTTTGCCACTAATTTTTAATAACAAAGTTGGCTTTTAGGTGTTCTCTGGATTTTGTGTTCCTCTGGGCTTTGTATCAGGTTGTGTCAGTTCATGTAGTTACTCTGGAACACTGTTATTTCCTCCTATGCTTCTGAATAGTTTATGTAGCATTAGAATCAACTGAACTTTGGAGGTTTTGTGAAATTTTCCCGTGACCTCCTTAATATCTTATCAGTTATGGCTTGGATCAAGAATGACACTCAAAACCCTCATGTACTCTGAGGCAGGACTTTTTTGTTTGTTTGTTTGTTTTCTGGTACTGGGTATCGAACTCACGACCTCGGGCTTGCCAGGCAGGCGCTGTGCTGCTGAGCTAAATCCCCAGCCTCCAAGTCCTTTTGGAGGGTGACTGGACAGTGAGGGTCTATACTGAATGTGCTGAGTGTGCACATGAGGAGGTAGGGCCTGGTTGGAGGCTGGTCACTGGGGAGCGACCTGGAAGGGTGTATCTCTCTCCCCAGCCCCTCTCTTCTCTCTCTGTTTCCTGGGTGCCATGACTTGAGTGGCTTTCCTCCACCCAGGCCCTTCCCCTATGTTGTTGCTGCCTTGGAGCCAACTGACCATGGACTGAAAATGTGAACTCGAGTAAGCCTCTCTTCCTGTAAGTTCTGGGTGTTGAGGCATTCTGTTTCAATTACAACACAAGCAACCAAAACTGACCCTGACCCATAGTCCTGTTTGACATGAGACTCATTCACTACCCCTCTTCTGCTTTGTTCTAGATGCCAAGGGAACATGTGTTTAGGCTGGCTGACCTGCTAGCTTTCAAGTGAGTCAGCCAATGGGAGGAAGTCATTGAAAAATGGAAGAAGGGAAGTGGGAAAAGCAGTGGTCCCTGCCTGTTTCCTTCTTTGAGTAGTATCTGTGATGGCAGCTCCATCTTCTTCTTCATGATTCCTGTCACCATTTTTTCCTCTCCCCTTGTATCAGTTATGGCTCACTAGAGAAGCAGATAATATAGTTAATATAATAAATATGATATAACTAATATAAACATATAATAAGAATTTACAAGGAAGACTTACAATGTCCACTTGCAGAGTCAGCAGTAGAAGAATGCAAGATGGCTGTCTGTGTGCTAGAGAGCCAGATCAAACCGGTTGAAAGTTGAAGGTCTGGTGCTCGATGCAGAGTCCAGTGTGAGTCTGCGTAGGAAATTCAAAAAGTCTCCTTATGGAAAGCTGAAGAACCAGCCTGCACTGGAACCCTGAGGGAACTGGAGATGAATCTTCAAAGGCAGTGGTGAAAACCAGAGCCCTTCTGAAGGAGAAAAAGGGAAGACTTCCTCCTTTCCAGTTTTATTCCATCCAGGCTACCAGCCTATTGCTTGGTGCCACCCACATCTGGAATGGGTCTTCCTTCCTCAGTTTGTGGCCTATGTACCAATCATCCACAGACACACTCAGAACTGTGCTCCACTAATCCACCCGGCATTTCTTAATCCATTCAAGTTGACATTACAATCAAGGATCACACCACCCTGGTCCAGCTCCTAGGAGGCTGGACCCTCTTAGAAGTGCCTCCTTCTATGGTCCTTTCAGCTTCCAACTTTGCTAGGCAACCCTGCTAGGTTCCTGGCTCTGCTATGACCAGTGCAACCAATTCCCTGCATTAAGCTCTCTCAGCTTGAGATGCTTAGGTTTTGATGTTCTGACTGGTTTCTGACTCAGAAAGACTTTAATTTGCTATTTCTCTAATCAGTTTTGATCATTTAAAAAAAAATTATATACTGGCAAATTGTAACTGTATATATTTATGGGGTACAGAGTAATGTGATGATTTTTTAATACAATTAAGAATGATTCAATCCAGGTAATTAACCTATCCATCACCTCAAATATTTGACATTTTCTGTGATGGGAACATTTGAGATTTACAGTTTTAGCTGTATTGAAAAGTCATTTACTTTTTTCTTAAGAAGCCACCTATTTCATAGTGATTTTCAAATTTGTTAGAACAAAGTTGTATATAAATGTCTACCATAATTTTAAAAACCATCTTTATTTTAGCAGTCACATTCCCATTCTGTTCCTAATATTGCTTATTTGTATGTGTATGTATGTGTTTCACCATCAAACTTGTCAGACATTTGTCTACTTTATTAGTATGTTGCCAGATTCTTTACATAAATCCTTATTTAATCTCTGTACCAACTTCACAGAAGAGGTTTATATTTTCGGGAGATGGCAGCAAAGAAAATCATTCCTTTACTCGCCAGAGACCACAAGCCTCTTAAATTGCAGAGCTGAAACTTGAACTCAGGTCTGTCTGAATTCAAAGCTGATGCCTTCCTCCCTTCTTAGCATGGCTGCCTGGAGCCAGATTAAAAGGATTATCATGAGTAGACTTGACATTTTCTACAAAGGACATGGATTTCTTTTGTAATTGGGAACGAAGTTAATTAGGCCTAAACAAATAATTTTAATAAAAATAGCCCATAAGAAGAGGAAATGTCACAGCACAGCAAGTTAAGAGTTTGGAATTATGAAAGAGGTGCAGAGGTCACCAGACATCTGGCTCTTTCCTGTTTTACGCTGGGCTTAGGTATTGATTTAGACCTTAGTTTCTCTCTCCCCACCAATTTAGTTCTTCTTTAGACACTGAAGTTTCCCAGACAGGTGATGGTACATTTTTCTGGTACTGTTGATTAAAATATAAGGTCTGATCAAATTACATGGTGAAGGTTTAAATTTTTCAAATTTATTATAGTAAAGACACTGTTATGGTTTGTGTCTGTGCGTCCCTGCAAAGCCTCATGCGGCCATGGGCCAGGCTTTTAGAGTTTGATTGATTATGGGTGTGAGAGCTACACCCACCCTGGGGTGAATAGTTTGCATATGTGAGGGAGAGGAAAAGGCTGGTTGAGGCCATTCCTTCCTGGTATGCTGGTTCTTTTACTGTGTTCTGTCACCATGAGCTGTAGCCCTCTGCCATGTGCCATTCTGCCTTGGAATCTGCCAAGTATGGACTGAAACCTCCACGAACTGTAAGCAAAATAAACCTTTCCTTCCTTAATTTTGGGCGTCAGGTATTTTGTCCCAGCAACGAGAGAAAAGTAACCAAGACAGACACATTTCCATTAATCACCCATAAGATACCCCCTCCCCTTGGTTTGAACACACTTATCCCATCATTCTTGTCATTTTCTGAAGCAGTTCCAGAAGTCCTCTTTCATGAGTATCTTTACAAGATGTGATAAAAATACAGTGAATGCTACTGCTGAGTGCCATCCAACAGAAAGCAGGCTCATAAAAACATTACGCTGTTTCCTCATGTGCTTTATTCACTGGATTTGGCACCCCATGACTTCTGCCTCTTCTTCAAAGTAAGAATGACTATAGAAGGTAAGTGTTTTGAATCGATTCAGGACATCAAGGTAGCCATGCCAGCACAAATAAAGACACTCATGACAGAGGACTTCCAGAACTGTTTCAGAAAGTGACAAGGGAGGTGGATGTGGTGGTTGCATGCCTATAATCGAAGCACTTGGGAGACTGAGGCAGGAGGATCACTTAGGGTTAAGGCCAGCCAGGACTCCATAGGAAGATTCTGTTGAAAAAAAAAAGAATTACAAAACAAGGGAGAGGGTTTTGAGGGAGGTTAATGGTGATGTCTTTTACTGTAATGCATTTTTTAAGAATGGAGGCATGCCTGGTATTTTGTGATGACACCTTGTATCCTTTGGGAAGTGGTCACCTTGCTAAGCCCATCACAGCTCCCGTGGTTGGAAATTCCACTCTTCTTCCAAACCAGGAGCCCAGTGTGGCTGGAGGCAGTGAGCGTCTCTGTGGGGATGGGGCTGATCCCTTGGGCAGTATATGTTGCCTGACTTCCTTGACCAGGGCGACGAGAGAAGGATCATTTCCTATCCCTGCTTCCTCTCTACTCTTGAGCTCCACTTCTAAAGGCAGAGGAGCCCTGAAACTTCCTAAAATAGCCTCCTGCTGGAGAGACGTAATGCAATGCACACCACAGTACGCATATTGATTTCTATTTTTGGTTCTTATCAAGATTTATTTTTCATTCCTTCAGGTAAATAGTGACCTTGGACTCACCGCCTTCCATATTTGCAGCCTGGGTCAATGAATCTTGGTATTGACCTCAGGGGCCATCAATAGCTGCTTATTGTTGAGATATTTCAATGTCAATAAGAGCCCCCATGGAGGTGGCGGGGAGCTGCCCAGCAAACCCAGCAGCTAAAAAACCAATCCCTTTTCTCCCAGTTGTCATCTTGGCTCAGAATGGGTTGGTTCTAAAATTAATTAACTTTCCTGCAGGGAATGGAAAACAAACTCCCCAATATCGCCTGAATCCTACAAAGAAAACTTTCTCAGAATTACTATGTATTACTATGAAAGGATAGAATACCCGTGTGGGTTCTGTCTCTGTCTCCTCAGCTGACCCCTAGTGTCACATTCAATCCCATGAGAACATCTAAGACTTGAAGATGAGATTCCTGGTTACAAAACTGCTCTGAACCCACCCAGATTTACCAGGTTCAAGCTCAGGCAGGCCAGCATACTGAAAAAGCTTGCATTTTGCCATTGGCCACTCCTCAGAGCAAATCCTGGTTCTATTACCAAACAGGCTTCCTCTCCTGTATGCGGGTGACACAACCTGCCTTGCGGTGGAGAGTAGAGATGCTGTCCAGGTGTGATGTCACGGAGTAGGTATTTCATAAATCCCAGTCTGGTTGCTTTATTGTTATTCTCTTGGCTAAATAAGCGATCAAGATAAAAAAAAAAGTTGTGGTATTTTTACATAATGGAATATTACTCAGCAATAAAGAAAGATAATCTCGAGGCTTTTATAGGTAAATTGTCACAACTAGAGACCATACTCATAAGTGAAATAAATCAGACCTGCATGTGTAAACACTGTATTGTCTCACTAGTGTAAGAACCTGAAAGAGTGAATAAAATGTGGGAAGTACAATAGTTGTTGTGAAACGAAAGGAAGCTGCTCAAAAGGAAAGAACAACTGGGATGAAGGAAAAGAGAAAAGAAAGAAGGGGAAAAATATGTATACATGAATACAGAGTATTGCTAGCAGTTGTACTACTGACTTTTACTGCTCTATTGAAAGGAACAGTTAATGTTGAAATATTTGATCAGTCTTACATGTCTATATTTGTTTATCTGAGTATCCAATTTGAAGATATCAATATGTAATACAACAACCATTGTTAATTTCCTATCACCTTGTCTGAAATTCCATATTGCTTGCATTGTTTTTGTGTTATTTTCTAAATGTATGTGTGTCTCTTAATACGTTTTTGTTCTTTTATCTTTAAAATTAAAAAAAAAGATGCTGCTCCTGAGTTGGGCACATGCCAGTATACCTAGCATTCTGGGATGCTGAGACAGGAGTATCCCAAGTTTGAACTCAGTCTGGGCAACTTGGCAAGACCTTGTCTCAAAAAACTATATTTTAAAAAATGCTTGAGGATGTAGTTCAGTGTGAAGGCACTGAGTTAGGTCTCCTGTTCTCCCCATCCACCCATCCACCCACCCATCCATCCATCCACCCATCCCCCCATCCATCCATCCACCCATCCATCCACCCATCCATCC